CTTACATATAAAAGAGATTTATGGTAAAAACGCTTGTGTATCGTGTATTTTGCGAAACTTGTTGTTGTCGTTGGTTCCGGGTTTGAATGGATACAAAAATTTGAGCAACGGTATTATGTGATATGAGGGGCTCGGTGGCCTTAGAGCAACCGTTTTTGCTTACTGAGCAGAACATCATGAGTCTAATCTCAAGCCCATTCACATTCAAGATTCGTCAATCGTTTTATTTGTTAATATGACTACATGGTAATAACAGCAACTCGGTGATTAAAAAGGTGCTCGTCTGCCTAGTGGCAAACGTTTTTGCTTACTGAGCAGAAGACCGTGGGTTTAGTCCCAAGCTCCTTCGCGTTATATGATCGTTAGGACATAAATTCAGCTTATCGTTTACCAAAACGAACCCTGCTGCAAACCCAACCTTCTTATCCAACATCCCAGTGATTCCTCGTGGAAGTGCAGAGGTGTTCTCGGCTTCCATCAAAGCGAGTGTCATGTCAACACAATCCTTCCCATTCCTTTCTTGACCTGTGTTCGGGCGCGGTCGGCGCTGGTATTTCCTAATTTAAGATCACCAGTTTTTACACATTGAGGATGATTGCTAGTCCCAAGCATCGTCTATTGGTTCTCTGTGTAATTACAGTTGATCTGGCAATAACAGAGTAGCAACCGTGGGCGGTCAATCAAGCTCAAGCTCAAGCTCAAGAAAGAAGAGACATTGAGAATTCCAGCATTGTGAATGGTCTATCCAGAGAGCCGCCGCTTGGAGACGTTTCTCGAAAAATATGTTGTGCTGGAACTAAATCCGGGCAGACCGAAATCGAATATCCATCGGTTGGAGTATTCTTCAATCTCATTAGAAGGTGAGCGGTTACAAAGTGCTTTGACTAAATGTTTCAGCTTTGTTTCAAGCTTTGAATATTCCTCAAAGTATGTGAAGGTTTTGTGTCTGCCAAAAGCTTTGAGAGCATCTGATTTTTCTACATACAATTTTGTGCATTCTTCGGTCCATCCAGGTGTGGCTGGTCTCCTTTTGAAGGGTGCACTTGGAACTTTTCTTTTTGTGCTTCCAGTGAGTTTTTGTATATCAAATCGGCAAGGAACCGATATTCTTTCAATGGTGGATGCGTATCTATTGATTCGACACCGATTGTCACCGCCGTTGCATATATCTGCCAGTCGATGTTGCTTGTAAGATCAAATGGAACTCGAGATGGTTCTGCAGAGTGAGGGCCACACTTAATTGAAATGATGATTGGCAAATTATCGCTGCCATGGGGATCATTGATAACCTTCCATAGACAGTCCAATGATAGCGGTCTTGAACACAAAGATAGGTCGAGTCGGCTTTCTTGAGCCGGAGGTTTTGCTATACGTTCGTTTCACCAGTGTTCAAGTAACTGTTGAAATCGTCACATGTATCGTAAAAAATATCCGCTCTATTGTTATCATATAGATCGCCCCACCTATTACCCATTGGGAGTTCATATCACCCTAAATTAATACTTTGGATGGAAGAATCAAAACTAGATTTTAGAGTTGGCTACAGTGGACCACTCTTGATAAGATTTATAAAGCATGTTTGAGAATCACAATAAAGCTGCCCACAAAAGGTTCTCATAGCCTCTTTAAGAGTAATATTGCATCCAAGCAGTTTTATTACGCTTTGGTGAAAATCAGTTATAAATCCATTTGAAGTTTTATTGCATCAAAGCAACCGCCATAAATTAGCTTGTTGTTGTTCTGTTCTGCTGAGTCTTTTTTTCCATATGGTAATCTTTAGCTGTAAAAATAGATTTGAGTGTTGGTGTCAAGATCACCATGCAATCAATTTTGTTTCATGGTGACATTAGTGAAAAACTTAAAGAAAATAGGGGAATTTACGTATTCTCGGCAACCTAAGCAGCGACCTTCTTTCTATAGCCTTTTTCTCTGAGGAACGCACACATATGCAGTATTGGTTTGTTTACAAACTTTTGCTGCCAGCTGCTCTAACAATTTCAGTCGAAAGAATTGTCAAAAACTGTTTTGAAACGCTTTTACAAAGCTCCAATCTTCTCTAGTGAGAGCGAGTATTGTCGGCAACCAGTTTTTCTTCGGCAACCGTTCCATTTGAACTGCATGTAAATCTGCTGTTCTATTATCGGCAACTCTAAATCAGCTACAATTTGTAGTGCGTGTGTTTCATTTCAAGAAAACCTTGCTAGATTGATTTTTCTCAGTGGTAAAAATATAGTCAAATTGAAGCTGAAAGCATAAAGAATCGTTTGCATGCATTCAGCGAAGTGTTTTCGTAAGAAAATCCAGTGAAAAAAGTGTTTCAATTTGGGTTGCCGAAAATAGTCTGGCATGCCGAAGCCGTCATTTCCCCTATATGCCTTTTTAGAAGTTCCAAAACATATGCGCTTGAAATTTTATCGTGTATATTGGGATAATATGAGCGTTAAATAAATGCGCCTCAAAATAATTAACAAAAAAGATTGTTTTAGAAATCAAATTAATTTGATGGAATCATCTTAATTTTACAGAAAATAGATCTCAATAAATAAATTCATACCAATGCACACTGGAAATCAGTTCGTATCTCTAATTTAGCCATTATTTTAATGAAATTTCTTGGATTTTATTCCAAGGCTAATGGCATTTTCATAATGACAATATGGCGACAGAGGACAGCAGGCAAGAAAAACACCAAGCGCAATTTCTTAAAATGTCTAATGCTTACTTTTTTGTTTGCTTTATTAGAGAGATTTTTCCTAATGCTTACATTGGATGGAAGCAGATCAGAAAAGCATAATGCATGATTTTATTTCGAACACTATTTTCTTTTTACAAGAGCAATTCATTTTTTTTCATTTGAGGGTAAACGTATACTCCTATTCTACGGGTGCAACCGATGAATTTTACAAACATTTGGAAAAGTTTTGAATGGTACATTAAACTGAAATAGTTATGCGTGATTTCAACTTTTTTGTCCCAGAACTGTCACCATTCCATGAATTTCGACCAATATTTGACAGTGTCACCCCAAGAAAATTAAGGAAAGAAAATGTTCAATGCTGATTGTTGAATTGTTGTGTCATCCTCCGACTCCAGATAATTATATATTTCCTCTTCATGAGTCATTTTTGGTGTAGCAATGTGTCCATTCGAAGTGAAGATGGTTCAGAATGGTGAGGAAGCACACACTTTACAGCTTCCTTTGTGACATCCGCAGAAAATGCAGCGGCATTTTTTTTTTCTTTGGTGGAGTTATTCACGAAGGTTTGCGGCTGACTGCAACAAATAAACGGGCTCATACTAAAAATTTTGTTGATTTTCTTTGCGCTCCGCTTGGAAGTACCGGAAAGTTTTGATTCTTTGTATGTTTTAAAAATAAACCGCCCATTTACACTTCTGACAAGTTGCAACTGAATGCTTATAATTGTTTTTAAATAACTGTTTCATGGCCAACTAGTTTTATTGCGCTTACTTATATAGCAATAAAAGGATTTATTTTTATAAGGGCAATTCATATTGCTTTTTTTATACTTCAAGGCAGTCATAAAACCTTTCACAAGTGAAAATAGCATAAGCATCAGTTGGTTTTTTTATTAGCTTTATAGGGGTTTTGTAGATAGCTATGAGAATGTTCCATGACTTGCATTGTATATGACCGTCATAAAGCTGTAAGTAATGGTTGCAGCTGCAATAAAACCTTTATAAATTTTGAATATAGCCAAGCAGCTCTAGATTTGTTACTTGGGATCAAACATATTTTCCCGAATCTGAAAAGAATTTATTTACTCTATTACAATTACATTACTATTTACTGCTACTGTCTCGACGTACCCGAATGAGATCTTCTTCTACTTTCGCTGTATTACGTCCCTACTGGGACTTTACGCCAGCCCTCAGAAATTTTTTTTTTTTTAGCATTTCCACAGTTGTTAATTGAGAGCTTTCTAAGGCAGTACCATTTTTGTATTAGTATTATTGTGTTTGGCAAGGCGAGTATAATCATATTCTATATGTCCAGGGGTCGAGAAATTTTTTGACGCAAAAAATTCCTACACCTGGTCCGGGAATCGGACCCATCCGCCTTCAGCATGATCTTGCTTTATAGCTGCGCCTTTACCGATTGAACTCGAGGAAGACCCGAGTGAGATACAATGCGAAATTATCGGATACCTGCGTAATATTTATACATACCTACGCAGAGCATAGATAATAACATCAACGATTTTCCTTACCACAAGTTTATGATTTTCCTATCATTACATCGTAGAAGAAAAGTAACCCCAGGGGAGCGTGAAGCACGGCAAAAAAAACTCTGGGGCCGCCACAACCCTCCACTAAGGCGCACATTTTAAGAGCAGAGCGAGAGTAACTGACTCGGCTTTGTGTACTATTTCGACAAAATCCGATGTGAAGTGGCCTCTCCATAATCTCTCCTTTCAGCAGCATCTCAACACGGACGATTGTACTTTTCTGTAAACGAGTTGCGTTTGCTAAATTGTGCCACGAACGATAAATACCCTACCTGCGGAACGTCATGGCACCAACGAGCAGCTCAGTAAAGAGTGTTTTCTTTTCACAACGTGTGAAACGCAATATCGGTAGGTACTTATTCGGTGGAACACGTGGTGATTCAGCAGAAAGACGATGGTCTACCCCAACTCTAACTCCTTTTAGAGAGCGATGCTCGTTTTTTTTTTTTTCCTTTTTCAATATCTTAATTGGTTCTTGAATGTTGCCGCAGTGGTAAATGAAGAGGGTGCGGAAAATCGACGACGTGATGGTTTATTGAAGCGGGGGATGACGATTATGCACGCATATGCGTTGGGTGCATTCAAGTCCTTTTAAACGGGGGAAAACCTTGTAAGGCACAAGAGCGAGGGTGTTCGATCCATTTAGAAGGACTTTCTGTTTCAAATGGATTTTACAAATGTGTTTGCGCAAGTCAAAATAAGTGAAAATTTCCCGGAGTGCACTGGAGTACTGTTTCCTTGGATACGCACCGGTTGTTTAACACATTGTCAGTAATTTGTTTGCTTGCATTTATCACCGCTCTCAGCCAAGTTTTAGAATGTTCTGGGGATTCAGCGAAGCCTTGGACCTCTTCGAAGAGTACCGTAAAGCTCAAGATCCAACGGAGGAACCACCAGTCGAACTAAACATCCTCCTGTTCGGACTAGGGGATCCCCGACACGTACTGAAAAGTGCATCGAAATCGTTCAAACATTCAACCAAGTTGAACTTTCACATACTGGAAGGATGTCTGGAGCTGGTGGCGAGGAACCTGCTGCTGACTAGCATCGCCTTCGAAAATGGTCATCACCTATCGGTGAAAGGAAAAACTCACCTGTTTATGGACATATTCGGCAACACACTGCTACGGCCGTTTTCTAATGGATACATCAATGCAAAGGCCAAGGTCCTTACCAAACTGGCTACAGATCCGGATTACGCTGAAAAGGTGGCGCCGATTTTTTCACTTGAAGGATTAAGGTACAAGGAGCGGGACCATTTAGAGAATGTGTTTCACTTTTGGATCAACCATGAGAAGCACGCGTACAATGTGGCACAGTACTGGGATGGTAAGTTTGTATGGCTCTTCATTTATGGTTATGGGAGATATTTTAAAACAATCCACACTTGCAAACACTCCTAAGCTGTCTACTTGGTTTATGGACAACCTCTTATTGCCGATACATGGTCCATTTTACGAGGTGTTTGGAGTCAGCTTTCCTGACAGGTCTTACGGTATGTTGCTTCCCACAATGGATTATCTTATAACCTGTGTTCGGATAATCTCAAATACTAAAATCTCACGCTTGAGATTATTCGCCTATGAGTTTCGTCTTGCGAAATTCAACTGCACAAAAATCACCGATGAGCTTTCAGGTGCAAACAATCATGGCTTTCTATGATTTTTTTTCCGTAACGCTCGCGAGTTGGGTACGGAAAACTTTCGGCGTCAGTACAAGGAAAGGTTCCCGCACCTGAAACCGTTGATCCTAGCGCTGCAGAATGAGTGTGGTTTGTAGAAGTTTGTGTGCACCTCGTTTACGAGCCAATAAGGTGAGTGGATTTTACGGGCCTTCCTTAGCTCAGTCGGTAAAGGCGCAACTACAAAGTTAGACCATGCTGGAGGTGGCTGAGTTCGATTCCCGGTCCTATCCTGGGGATAGAGTATGATTGTACTTGCCACACAATTATTCTAATGCAAAAATGGTACATGCATCGAAAGCTTTCAATTAATAACTGTTGGAGTGCATCTAGAACACTACATTGAGAGCACGCAATAAGGTTATATCAACAATCAATACGAAACTACCCAACAAACAATTGAGAGCTCTTATAAAACACCTACCTGAGTTGATCAAACGTTGAATAATAGCTTCCAGAGTTGAACAAGAATGTAGTTGTATTGCCATTTGATTAAAAGTTTTAAAAGCTGTTTGATTTTTTTTTTCTCCTTTGGTTTGTTTTTTCCGTCGATCTTGTTTTCCGTGCTGAGCACCAATGCTACCGACGTGCCAGGAAGGCAGCTCCCACACCTGGACCCTACCTATCGACCCATCAACTCATGAACCGGGGACCAACGGCTTTACTTCCCATCCGAAGGAAGGCGTGATCAGAGATGTTATGCCTCAGAACATCCCGGCGGCGCCGACTGGGATTGAACCCAGGCCTGCTGGGGTGAGCGGTAATCACGCTTACCACTACATCGCCGGCGCCGTTAAGTTAACAAGTTAAAAGCTGTTGGAGCACTGTTAAATCAAGAGCAAATTTTCATTACGTCAAATGTAACAAAGGTAAACAAAGTCGAGCTATCAGTGTCAATCGATTCTCCTGCTATTACACTATATACTGACCGAATATAGGATCAAATCCCATTTTTAAATTTATTTGCCAGCCAAATTGCTTTTTGACGTAATCACCTTCCGATCACAATAGTTTTCGATGTTACTTAAGTCACCCAATTTCTATGGAGATGCCGTTTGACTTAAGTAACAGCGCTGAGAAACCCGTGAAAAGTGTACGTTCGTCGTTTCGCTTTCTCATTATTAAAGTGAATAAATCGAACTGTTTGTTGCTAAGATGATTTCGGTGGTCCTAAAATGATGAATCGGCTGCACGTAAGGAGACGTAATTGATAATTCTCCCGAATATCCTGGTAAATACACTTTGACTTAAGTAACAATAGGGGCCACCAAACGACGTATAATAACTTTTGACTCAAAAACCAGTATTTTTTAGCATGAAAGCTAGCGATTTGCATTTGTATGATTAAAACCCTGCTAAATATGTTAAACATTGCTATCACTATGAGATTATATGTGTTTACTTGGAAATAGGAATAACTTTTCGGTCATCAAAACAAAACTTTATTTTTCTCGGATCGGTGCGAATGTTACTTACGACATAATGAAAATTTGCTCTTGAAATGATTGTTTACGTTCGGTTTAACTATATGCTTTATAAGACCTACGATAACTTTTATAGCACCTTAGTTAAACTGATTCACAAGAGCTATACAGAACGTGGAATAAACGCATCAAAACAAACAATTGGGAGCTCTTATAAAACACCTGAGTTGATCAAACGTTGAATAATAGCTTCCAGAGTTGTACAAGAATGTAGTTGTATTTCCTTTTTGGTTAAACGCTTCAAAAGCTGCTTGGAGCACTCTTAAATGATTGTTTACGTTCGACCAACTACCAACCACAATTTTGTTGCTAAAAATAGCACAAGTGATAGGCACGTTTATATGACCATAAGGCAATGATTATTCGACTGCAAGAGAAGTCACTCAAGATGAGCTTCATATACTTCTCTCATATGATCAAAATATGTATTCAAGAATAGAGCAGATGGAAACAGAAGCGACTGGCAATCCAGGATCATGAGTTTGAATCTTGCTTCGAGAAACCCTCGGTGGAGTAGAGGTAAATTATATATATAGGTGTTATTAATAAATGCAAACATTAATTTAATACATATATCATATAATCACAGACAAACAGACATAACACATTGAATATTTCTCACTGTAAAACATCGTCGCTTAAACATTACCGCCATCTGTTGAGTACACTGTGGTGGGTAGTACGCTGAACAGATGGCGGTAGTGTGTAAACGTCAAACGCAAGGGAATAGACTATGCGCGCCACAGGTGGCAGTACTACCAACTACGATACTTTTAAATTGACCGTTAAATGCTTGTTGCGATGAACAAGCTTGATGCTTGTTACTACTTCCTCCATGATCACAGAATGTGAATTATGGCATAATTACATATTTTTTCAATGTGCACAAATAAATTAAATTAATAAAAACTTTACAAGCAATTATTTTGGCGTACCGCGACAATTGTTAAACTAATTTTAATCTGTGAATATTGTGAGTACTTACATAACGGTTATTAAAAAGTGCTATAAACGCTTTTCACCGCTTGCTGTACAATGATTATTTAGGAGTCATAAAAGAGTGCAACAAACGCCTCTCAGGTTTACTCTCTACTAAATTTCAAAGCAGCTGTCAAGAAGTGTCTACAAACGTTGTATAAGAGCTTTCACCAAAATAATAAAGCTTGAGTTTAAATATGTATCTATAAACGTTGTATAAAAGTTGCTTCTACTCCTATACCGCGTATACATATAATGCTGTAGTTAAACAGGTTCTCCAAACCAGTGTAAACAAGAGTTTTCCAGAAGTTGTAATAAACAAATTGTACAGTTATTATTCAGCATGCAGTTTCTTCAACAAGAAATTGATTTTGGGTAAACGTTTTACTGAATACGTTAGACAACACCTATGTGTTGCAGTTGTATAGGTTCTCCAAACCAGTGTAAACAAGGGTTTTATAAAAGTTGTGTTGAACACATTGTGCAATTATTATTCAACATGCAGCTGAACAAAATCAAAACGAAAGCGTTTCTTCAACTGGAAATTGTTACTTGGGTATCGATTTGAAATTGGCTCACTACTTGACTAGCCTATTGGTCCCAAGCAAATCGATTAACGTTCCCCATTCTAGTCAAAATTCTAGTACTACACAAGGTTTGTTTTGATTCTCTATGGAAGTTTGACAGATAAAATGAGGGGTTATTGGAATTTCCTGTTTCGAGGGGTGAATCGATTAGCTTGGGACCGAATATAGTACCAGAGCTGAGCCAAAAAGTAGAGCTCGTTTCTTCGGGACCTACTAGTCTTAGAGTTACCTTTATGGTTATATGCAGGGGCCTGCCTGGCGGCCATTTTTTTGATGCTTGCATCTTTTCTTGTCTTTCTGCTTACAACACGATTTTGCGTCCCTGTCCTTCATGTATACGTCAGGCGGGCCGTATTTAAATAAGGCCCGTGATCTTGCCTACTGTCAAACGTATAGGATTGATATGGGGTTGCCAGTCTCTTGGTTATATGCTACAAGCAATAACCCGACCAACCGTTCGTGAAACTTCTTCAAAGTTCTTTATATAGAAATAAAGATTGATGTCGGCAATTCTTTACTTAAAAATTTTCTATGATTTCGATGTACACATTTGAAAATCTTTATTGATCGATACTTACATTTCAGATTATTCCTTCATCGGTCATATGATAGTAATCTATAAAGGTACCATACTAAATTTCTTTCAATTTCGATATGTCACATAAAGTCCATGTATTCTTTACAAATATTCATCAATAAATATTTAAATACTGAAATCATTGTAACTTTGAACTTTGACAAAGAACAACAAAGATTGCCATCGATGCACATTTATAATCTCCTTGTTATCGATTTGCATCGCCGGTTAAAGAGAGTTCGAGACACACCAGGTGACAGATGGCAATGGTTATATTATTTATCGACATATTTGGCATTTCATCGGAAGAACCAATCTGCCGGTAAATGAACGAGAAGACCGATGGCCGCGACGCAGCAAATGTTTACCATTGTAGTTCTTCAAGTTTACGTCTATATATTTAATAACCCGTCATAGCATGCGTGGTGGGATTCTCGGCATTTGGAACCCAATGAGTAAAATTAATACCTTTTTGGCCTCCATTACACCTACATTGCTGACTGGTTGATGGTATATTGAATTCATGTATGAAAAGATTTACAGAAATTTCAATACACCACATACTAGAGTGTGTTTTCCTGTCGTTGATAAGCTCATCAACAGCAGCCGTGGACCCGAGGATTAGCAACCAACAACGAAATCAGTACACCCCAGATGGCATGGGATCGAAAGTAGAAATTATGCAGATAAAAAATCCCACATAAAATCAGCAGTTGTGTATCGATATTTTGATTTTACAACAGAAATCGATATTTTGATCTGGCAACACAATCGATATTTTAACATTGGTAACGATTGGTAGCAATATTTTGAGAAAGATCTTTATAAACGATTCACGATTAGACTTTTAGCAACAATCAATACGAAACTAACGATTTTAAATTGGCTCACCACTTTAGTAGCCTATTGGTCCCAAGTAAACGATTAACGTACCCTATTCTAGTCGAAATTCTAGTACTACGCAATGTTTGTTTTGATTCGCTATGAAAGTTTGACAGATAAAACGAGGGGTTATTGGTTTTTCCTATGTTTCGAGGGGTGATTCGACAAGCTTGGGACCGAAGATAGTACCAGAGTTGAGCCAAAAAGTTGAGCACGTTTCTTCGGGACCTACTTGTCTTAGAGTTACCTCTATGCTTTTAGCATCTTTACAATTATTCATGAAATGGTGACGATCGCTATCGATTTTTCTTATGAATGGCTTTGAAGATCGATGTATAGAAAATTAAAGAAAATTAACGAAATGGTTGGTCGGGAAGCTTAAATGCGAAGAAGAAGAAGAAGAAGAAGACATATTTTCTGATTGATCATCAAGAGCAGTGTTGAGAAAATATCAAAAAATCAATTCAGTGCCAACATTTCAAAGGGGCGTAATTGCATTTGTAAACAATGGCTTTAGCCGTTGATTTCTCACAAATAAAAGCTCAATTGATTGCACCAACAGGTAGAGGAATGTTTCCTCTTCCAGCTAGCATTGTGCATTTGGAGGAGTGAGCTTTTATTTGCGAGAAATCGACGGCTAAAGCCTTTGTTTACAAAAGCAATTACGCCCCTTTGAAATGTTGGCACTGAATTCTCACCAATGCCCAAGATCGAGATGGAAAATGACAGGTGCGCAGGAACTCATGGTCTCCCAGTGTTGGTGAGTTCTTGGCCGTTAATGTTCACGAAAAGTTAACTATTTTTCCATATAGAAATTCAAAACAATTTTTTTTTTTTTGGCGAATTTGGACGGTTTTTGACCTGTTTAATATGACCGGAAGGTGTACGCTGGTCACAAATACCGTGCCAAACTGATTTCCTATGCAATTAATCAATCTGTGATGTGAATTTCACTAATAAACACGAGGAGCATTTCTTATAGCAAAGTTTCCATAACAAAATGGGCATGGTTTATTTTAGTAAACAAACTAACACTTCAATCTTTGCTATTGATTAATTGCGTAGGAAATCAGTTTGGCACGGCATTTGTGAACAGCGTACACCTTCCGGTCATATGAAAGAGGTCAAAAACCGTCCAAATTCGCCCAAAAAAAAATTTGTTCCCAGAAGGTCCCGAAGAAACGTGCTCAACTTTTTGACTCAGCTCTCAACGCTACTATCTTCGGTCCCAAGCAAATCGATGCACCCCTCGAAAAATAGGAAAATCCACGAACCCCTCATTTTATCTGTCAAACTTTCATAGCGAATCAAAACAGAGATCAAAACAAACATTGTGTAGTACTAGAATTTTTACGTTTTTTTGCAATGTGATCAGTCGACACCCTGCCCAAGTAACAATCTAAATGCTTGGAAGATTTATTCTTATTTTATCATTGTTTTATCATAGCATCCCTTCCAGCCTGTGGTTGTATTACGGTTTTGTGTGCTTGTCATAAAATCAGGCCGTCAAGTCGTCTATAAAACTGTTTTATGACTACTAAATTAAAACTCAGACTTCATAGTTTTAACGGTAGCTGTAAGGTGGTTCTGCATCACTACTTATAACTGAAGAATAAAACCAAAACAAAACATACAATTATGTTTTATGGTACACTTTTTATGACCTTCATTAAAGCTTCATTACAACTATCATCTTTATCAGAGGCCTAAGATTCACAGATAAGAAATATACTGCTACAACAAAAAATACTCTGAAATGTTTTGTCATTATAAAAAACAAATCTATTCAGATATATGAAATGAAAACCCCTTCAGTGCTTCTGAACACGATGAAGATGAGACGATCGACAATATGAAACTCCTGGAGGAACTACAGTTATACGATCCCTACATAAGGCACAGTGCGGTGAAGGAGCTCTTAAAAATATTGAACAAGCGGCTTTCCCATACACTTCCGAAAGATCCACGAACCCTTCTTAAAGCAACGCCGACAGTTTCACTAAATCCGTTTGGAGATGGCCAGTATTGACATCACGGCTTTAAACCTTGTATTGAAAAAGCTTTTAGTGGATCCAATAAGCATTTCTTACATCTTGATTACAAGCGAAAATAGGAGGATCGCTTGGAATGTTGACTTTTTGACAGGTGGTCATGGTTTTTGTTTTGTTTTGATTCGCTGTACCGAATAAAACCAGCAAGCTAGTTATATAGCTTAAATACAACTTAACGCTCTCAATTTGGACTACGAAATGCTAAGATACAACCATTAGGTTTATGTTATGCTATAGAATTCCAATCTAGGAGAATATGTTATATTGAGGTATTTTTAAGGAGTAACAAGTTATAACGAAAAAAAATGTCGCAGTATGAACAAATTTCACACAGTATGAATAATTACGCTTTAATTGATAGGCAATAAAACACTTTCATACATCTATGTATAATTAAATAATATGTGACTGGTTATTGCTCAACAGTAGTAACAGTTTTGTACTAAATAGATAATGTTTGAATGACTCTTTAATGCATGGTGCTAATGCAGACAAATTAAAAATATCCCTATATTTTAGTATTCATATGGCGCACTAAATTTATGCTCCTATTTGGTATAATAATCACCATAAATACTGCACGGCATGCTGTGAAGCATATACAGATTGGTTTAAAATTATAATAAAGTCGTCTTATTTTCAATGTACAATAATATCAGCCATTATTACCAACTGACAAGGATCATGATTTCACATCAAACATCGAAAGAATAAAACCACAATAAAATATTTCTCAATATTAACTATCATCCAAAAACCCCAACTTAAAACCTTCAAAGTTGTCAAAATGTTTTGCGTATCATGTTTTATCAACTTCTTCAGGAGCGATTTATGCGGTTGTAATATAGTTTTATGGTAGTCATTAGAAGGCTGTTACAACTTTCTGACCTGGAGGAGGTTTTATGTTTTCATTTTTAACAATCACGTCTAGAGTGTGATAAAACTGACATAAATCCTATGCTACTAAAGTAGGTCGCATATCAAGTTTTAATGACTGCATTAAAACTGGGCCAATTGGCCATGACATGGCTGTATTGCGGTTCTCAGGAGATTGTTAAAGCAATGTGGTCGTCAGTGAAGGTTTTATAATTTGGTTATATCAACTGCTATAAAACTTAAATAAAACAAAAATTGTTGCTTGGGCTGGAATGTTAACAAATTTACTGAATTAAATTAAATAATATTCTTTTCTGCAAAAATCAATTGGCGAGGGTATTCAATTTAAACCAGATATATAGTATTTTTGCCAATGGGTTTTGTTTCAGTGTATAATACATTTGGTGCACTGGAACAAACGCACCAAATCAATCCATGGTAGATATCCAATGATACGGATTTATATTCCACGCTTCTCGAAATCGGCTGGCTCTGAGCTACAGCATTACAGTAAACTCTGTCAAACACGATCGCGTTGCTGAAACCGAAACCTGAAACATTTAGCTCAACGAACTCTTTCCACATAGGGGAAATGGCTCTAATGTTGGTCTATGGAACTAAGATTGAGCCCATAACTAAAAATCTGCTATTTATCAATTTTATCTAGATGAACGCGTCATTGGGACGTTTCTAATGGATATTTTTGGTCACTATTGAAAATTTAGTCGATTGTTGAACTGGGTTTTTTAATTTTGAAAAAAATATCGGTTTTTATATATCATCTGAAAGTGCTCCGTTTTCTGAGCAGAGTGATATTTTTTTCGAACATACACACTTTCATCTCGATTTTTGAATCAAGATTTAAAGCAAAATAATAACTTCACTGTTTGACACTAAACTGACAAACTGACAGCTCGCTCCCATACAAAGTGACACCGAGCAGCGCTAATAAGGTTTTTTTTTTTTTATTTTATTATAGTCACTTTAACACTCTTGGGTCATTCGTGACTTGTCCGGGGTGAGATTTGAACTCGTGACTTTGGCGTGAGAGGTATGGATGCTAACCACTACGCCGGGGTCGCCCCCTAACTAATAAGGTGATTTTTACAAATGTAATCGTACTTATTTAAAATAGTTCCAGTGTACCAACGTTGATTCCATTTTTAATGCAGATTACGAATATGCATTTACCTCAATACCTTTGAAGAACCCAATTTATGTATGGGTCCAAATTACGGGCATTTAAGCCGACATTACATCTATGTTTAATTTTTCTTCCATATAATTGTATTTTATTTTTTCTTGGCTATGCCAGTGCCTTTCCTGAGCAGTACAAAGCTGTGGTATAAACTTGCAGCAACTCGATTGTGACTGAAATAAGTCACATACAAGTTGGCGTACCTATTTTGAAACATGTGTGCTGCTAGGGTTCATTACCACTGTCGGACAACATTCACTTCGCTGATTAGAAGTAACGAGGCCTAATATCATAGTGGTAACTAATATTACACGTTCGCGCTCAATCGTGCGACCAATCGGATCGACTGCCAGCACGACACTCTCCTTGATTTGTGTTAACAACTTGCGATACATTAAATGTTACAACCTCTATAATAAAGAATAATAATTATTAAATCAAAAGTACCAAGTATTGTCATCATGTCACCTTTGTCATATTTTGCGTTGTATTCAGTGTTTTTCATTCTCCTAAAATCACTTACCTTCTCTTTGGCAGCCAGAGTTCGTGCAATGCTGGGCACCAGGTACGACCACCGAATGGGAAGCTTCGACTGGGACCTGCACATGCGACTGCGAGAGAACGGTGCGAAACAAATTTGTCCCCAAGAGTACAAGCATTGGCGCGATACGGGAGTTGCTTTCACATTTCCGGAGTACGAACAGAGTGATCCGAATAAGACCTTTGTCGTGGGACTGAGCCGTAACGGAGACGGTTTCATGCACCGTGGAATTGTGGGAGACATTAGCACTGGACCGTATATTTCCTTTGGGGTAAAATGCCCGGAGGAAAAGCTGGCACATTCCAACCATGGAGTGAATGATTTCCGATCAACTGATGTAACCGAAAGGAATGTGTTTGAAATCATGTATGAGATACAAAATCGCAAGGACTACATTTTGGATGCGAAAGACTTTCACCAATATGGTTCGTATGTTCTCGACTCGGGTAAAAATCTCAACAAGGATCAAATCCGATCTGAATCCGTTGAATTTTGCAAATACGATGAACCTTTCATTCAACGCGACAACGTCAAAATCAACTTTCTCTCCGTGGAGAACCTTCTTAAGATTCAAACCAAGCCGGACCATCGCTGCCAGTATGACATTGTAGTCATCGCTAGCAACTATTTCTCATTCTTGAAAGACGATTTCCCTCAGCTTTTCAGTGACAACAGTCTTATCTGCTTCGAAACCCGACAGCTGACAACCTTCAGCAAAGATGAGATCTCCCAATTAACGGCCCAAATTAAAGACTTTGCGAAATCTCACTCGCTGCAGCCGCTGACCAATTTTTCCATCAACGTGCCCCACTCCATCATCCGCTACAAGAACATTTCTCAAACGCAATAAAATATCTTATTTTCCACTTTGCGTACAACGAATAAATCAATCTGTGTATTTAATTTATCCCCAACCCCCGCTTACATACCACCATACTCTGTTCCCCCTCTCGCACTTCTAAGACGTAGCAATCTCCTTCAGTGGTCCTTCCAGATAGTTTACCAGCGCTTGCGCCTTCTGCTGCAGGATTCCCAATCCGACGTTTTCCCTCGCATAAAGGCACAGCAGTAGGTTCGCCACCTGTGTGATTATTACGTTTCCGTTTTCGCACTGCAGAAACACGTACTTGAGCCGGTCCTCCCGGAAGGCATTGCGACCGTTCTTTTCATAGGCGGACCATACGTTGCTGGCGATGGCTGCGGTAATTGTGGCATCCCGATCGCCGTAGCCGGAAAAGGCCAGCAGGGCACCTTCGTGTGTTAGCAGACTTTCGTGACAATGGAAGGTTATTGTTGATGTGCGTTCAATGGCAGCTATTTTAACAACTTACATGGTGTTCTCCACTCCACCGGTATTGGCCTGACCAAGAACCGATGTGAGCACTTTGGGTTGCAACATTTTTAGTGAAATTTAACTTATTTTTATTAATCTACTGATAAAGCTGTTATCACCGATTTCCGTTCGTGTTTTTGTTTTGATTCGAATGACAGTAATATATTTTGAGGGGCTCAGCAGCGAACGAGATTGCCAGTAAGAACTATAAAGAGGGTTCAGTTTTTTTAGGTTTCCGGGAATTTGTATCTCATCTAAAAAATTTAAAATTGGGTTCTTTAAGGGTATTGAGGTAAATGCATATTCGTATTCTGCATTAAAAATGGAACCCAAACCCAAAATTTCATAAATTTTTGTACACTAGAACTATTTTAAATAAGAACGATTACATTTGAAAAATCACCTTACTAGCGCCCCTTGGCGTCACTTTGTATGGGAGCGAACTGTCAGTTTGTCAATTTAGTGTCAAACAGTGAAGTTATTATTTTGATTTAAACACTTCGAGATGAAAGTGTGTGGGTTCGAAAAAAAATATCGCTGTGCTCAGAAAACGAAGCTCTTTCGGATGATGTATAAAAAACAATACATTTTTCAAAATAAAAGAACCCAATTGGGTACTTTAATGGCGGTAAGCTCCAACTCGGATTAACTTTTAACACCAACGCTGTTCAGATGGATTTATGAGATGAACTAGCTAATTGCTAAAAATCTCAATAATAAAGTTTTTAAAAAACCTGTCCGTGGATAATACCAGTTGGAGTTTACCGCCAACGGGTGACAAGAGTATTGACGGTGACAAGATTATTGGGCCCTTTAAGGGTTTTGAGGTAAGGCCGAGGGTAGAACCGTAAAAAATAAAACCTACACGGTAAGAACAAAGTCCCCAACGGCCAGTTCACTTTTACCTACTTTTGACTAGTTTGTCTTCTTTTCTCCCTCTAATGTTGTCAAAAACTGAGGAGCAAAACCACCCAACAGGGGTAGTAAAATGCGAGGTAAAATGTGGGAACCCAACGTTGAGTATAATCATATTTACCTACTGTTGGGTACAACTAACTTACTTTTGGATTGAAAGCTAGTGGAAAATTCCATACGAATTGCACACAAGTAAATGAAAATTACTTTAATCCGCTTTACCTACTTTTGGGTTCTTGCACTATAGTGCCGAGACGAGTGAAAAGAACTTATTGTTGGGTACTTTTTTCTAATCGTGTACATGTATTGTAACCGTGCAATAGAATTTCAGGGTTAACATGTCAGAAGGGTCTAACTCGAAACTTGGATCGTCGGAGTGTTTGGTCATTCATGAGAAATCGACGTTAAAAGTCATTGTTTACGTTACGAGTTATATACCCTTCTGAAATGTTTCCCCTGATTTATTGTATTTATTTACAAGGCTCTTTAGTTTCGAGAACTTTTCTGAAGGGTAACAATGAAAAAATCCCGGGATGGGGCAACGACCGACACCTTCCAAATCCAAAAGTCAACTGTCAAAGTCCGTAAACAAATCGTGCTCTGGAAAACGAATGTCGTTCTACGATTTCTCCTGTTTTTAGTGAAAAATAATCCAAATTTTTGATCTCAAAATGGATGAGCTCGAACAGCTTGAGCACCTCTCGCTGGTGTCGAAGATTTGCACGGAACTCGAGAACCATCTGGGACTGAACGACAAAGATTTAGGTGAGTACCCTAGATTGCATTCCCACAGAAGTGACAGCACCGTAAATACATCTATGCTTCTAGCCGAATTCATCGTTGATTTGGCGGAGAAAAACCCAACCCTGGAAGGATTCAAAAGTGTCCTGGCGGAAAATGGTGCCGAGTTCGCCGAATCGTTCACATCGAATCTTTTGCGTATCATCCAGCTGATGAAGCCAGCGAAAGGGGCGGGAGGCATGAGCAGCAGTACTTTGGCGTTTGAGGATGACGAGCGGGTGGTAGGATTAGCACTGAAATTTCCCGGACTGGCAATTCCGAATTCGAAGAAGGGATTTGAATCGGATGTGGATGAGGAAGACGATGAAGTGGATGAGAAGAAGGATAAGAAGAAAATGGGAGCTCCGAATGTTGTAGATGACATGTTTGCCGAGTTGGAAAGCATGGCACCGTCTACGTCCTCCAAAGGGGAAAATAAAAAGTCTCGTCAGCAACAGGAGGTGGAACATATGTTTGCTGAACTGGAGGATTTGGCTCCTTTGTCATCGAAAGATGACAAGCGACGCGACCAGAGGAGTAGGTCTCGAGATCGGAAGCGAAGCAGATCTAGGGAAAGGAAACGAAGTAGATCCAAGGAGAGGAAGCGCAGTAGGTCGAGGGATAGGAAGCGAAGTAGGTCCCGGGATCGGGATCGCAGGAGAAGGTCTAGATCTCGGCACAGATCAAGATCGAGGGATAAGGAGAGAAGGCGCAGAAGCAGAAGCAGGGACCGTGAACGAGATCGACGACCCAGGAGAAGTCGTAGTAGGTCAAAGGATCGAAACCGGAGGCATAGAAGCGGTTCAAATTCAAAAGAATTCCGTCGTCCACCACCAATGCCTGAGGAACCAGAACCGGGCAAAGTCTACGAAGGAAAGGTAGTAAACATCGTAGCATTCGGCTGCTTCGTTCAGCTGTCAAACTTCCGACGGAAGAAGGAAGGGTTGGTTCATATTTCACAACTGTCGTCGGAGGGGCGTGTGAATAGTGCATCGGACGTGGTCAACCGAGGAGATACCGTAAAGGTGAAAGTTATTTCCATCGCGGGGCAAAAGATTTCCCTTTGCATGAAGGATGTGGACCAGCACACGGGTCAAGATCTGAATCCTTTATCCCATGCTCATCTGCAGGAGAGTAGTGACCTTGCCAACCGGAATCCGGACCGTCCGATGAATGTTCCTTCGATGCTCAATTTACAGGACAATGTAGAATCTATGGAGGAAAACTCGAGGAAGAAGGTTACTCGCATTTCCAGTCCGGAGCGTTGGGAAATAAAGCAAATGATTTCTTCCGGAGTGATCGATCGCAGTGAAATGCCAGATTTTGATGAGGAAACTGGGTTGCTTCCGAAAGACGAAGATAGCGAAGCTGATATTGAAATTGAAATTGTCGAAGACGAACCACCTTTCCTGCAAGGCCATGGTAGAGCATTGCACGACTTATCTCCGGTTAGAATTGTCAAAAATCCGGATGGTTCGCTGGCGCAAGCAGCTATGATGCAATCGGCCTTGGCTAAGGAACGACGAGAGGTGAAAATGCTTCAGCGGGAACAGGAAATGGATTCGGTTCCGACCAATATGAACAAGAATTGGATCGATCCTTTACCAGAAGAGGACACTAGAGCTCTGGCAGCGAACGTTCGAGGTGTCGGAATGGCCATGCAAGATGTGCCCGAGTGGAAGAAGGCTATCATCGGTGGAAAGAAATCGTCCTACGGTAAGAAGACGGACATGAGCTTGGTCGAACAGCGACAGTCACTTCCAATCTACAAGCTCAGAGATGATTTGATCAAGGCCGTAACGGACAATCAAATTCTGATTGTCATCGGTGAGACCGGCTCGGGTAAGACTACGCAGATCACCCAGTACTTGGCGGAGTGTGGTTTTATCGCCCGGGGCAAGATTGGGTGTACGCAACCGCGTCGTGTCGCTGCCATGTCGGTGGCCAAGCGAGTCGCTGAAGAGTACGGTTGCCGTTTGGGACAGGAAGTCGGCTACACTATTCGTTTCGAGGACTGCACCAGTCAGGAGACGGTGATCAAATACATGACGGACGGTATGTTGCTGAGAGAATGTTTGGTGGATTTGGATTTGAAGTCCTACTCGGTGATTATGTTGGACGAAGCGCACGAACGGACAATCCACACGGATGTGTTGTTTGGGCTGCTGAAGCAAGCCGTTCAGAGGCGACCGGAGCTGAAGCTGATCGTAACATCGGCCACGTTGGATGCGGTGAAATTTTCGCAGTACTTCTTTGAAGCTCCAATTTTCACGATCCCGGGCAGAACGTTCCCCGTCGAGATGCTGTACACCAAGGAACCGGAGACGGACTATCTGGACGCTTCGCTGATCACGGTAAGTGTTGTCATTTCAATTAACCTACTAAACGCACCGAATTAAACTTCTCTCCAAATCTTTGAGCTCAGGTTAAATTTGAGTCCTAAAACTAAGTGTCGCATACGATCCTTTATTGAAAAATATATTTGATAAGCTCTCCGAGACCTCCTACCTTCGGAGAGTTAGTGTTCCTGAGAATGTCATGTACATTACCTTTTTACTCCTCATTTCTCAGGTCATGCAAATCCACCTCCGTGAACCCCCGGGAGACATTCTGCTCTTCCTCACCGGTCAGGAGGAGATTGACACCGCTTGCGAGATCCTTTACGAACGGATGAAATCGCTCGGTCCAGACGTACCAGAGTTGATCATCCTTCCCGTGTACTCAGCCCTGCCGTCGGAAATGCAAACTCGTATCTTCGATGCAGCTCCACCGGGCAGCCGAAAAGTGGTCATTGCCACCAACATTGCCGAAACATCCCTCACCATCGACGGTATCTACTACGTTATCGATCCCGGCTTCGTAAAGCAGAAGGTGTACAATTCTAAAACGGGAATGGATTCACTGGTGGTCACCCCAATTTCCCAAGCTGCTGCCAAGCAGAGAGCTGGTCGGGCCGGGCGAACTGGACCGGGAAAAGCCTACCGATTGTACACAGAACGAGCCTATCGGGATGAGATGCTTCCCACTCCGGTACCGGAAATTCAACGTACTAATTTGGCCACCACAGTGCTGCAGCTGAAAACTATGGGAATCAACGACTTGCTGCACTTTGACTTCATGGATGCTCCGCCGGTTGAATCGCTGGTGATGGCCCTGGAACAGCTTCATTCTCTGTCGGCGCTGGACAATGAAGGTCTACTAACTCGATTGGGTCGCCGTATGGCCGAGTTCCCACTGGAACCGAATCTGTCCAAGATGCTGATCATGTCCGTGGCGTTGCAATGTTCCGATGAGATTCTGACGATCGTTTCGATGCTCTCGGTTCAGAATGTGTTCTATCGACCGAAAGACAAGCAAGCCCTAGCCGATCAGAAGAAGGCCAAGTTCAATCAGATCGAGGGTGACCATTTGACTTTGCTAGCGGTGTATAACAGCTGGAAGAACAACAAATTCTCTAACGCGTGGTGCTACGAAAATTTCGTACAGATAAGAACGCTGAAACGAGCCCAGGATGTGCGAAAACAGTTGCTGGGTATCATGGACAGGCACAAACTGGATGTAGTTTCCGCTGGGAAGAACACGGTGCGGGTGCAGAAAACAATTTGTTCCGGATTCTTCCGGAATGCTGCCAAGAAAGATCCTCAAGAAGGCTACCGGACGTTGGTCGATTCACAGGTGGTTTACATTCATCCCTCCAGTGCCCTGTTCAATCGGCAGCCAGAGTGGTAAGTGATTACACCTTCTTACGATGAATTCAATGATATTGATACAGTTTCCTTTAACCTTACAGGGTTGTCTACCACGAGCTGGTCCAAACCACCAAGGAGTACATGCGAGAAGTGACAACCATCGATCCGAAATGGCTGGTCGAGTTTGCGCCTGCTTTTTTCCGCTTCTCCGATCCAACCAAGTTGAGCAAATTCAAGAAGAACCAACGCCTCGAACCACTCTACAACAAGTACGAAGAACCCAACGCCTGGCGTATCAGTCGAACGCGAAGGAGACGAAACTAAACACACTCTATTTAGGCTGTTTGAAGTTTTATTACATCTATCAATTAGTGTCCCAACATTCTTAATAAACAGAACTTAAACATTTGACCTTCTGTACCCGGAACCCTTCTATCGCTTTTTGTACTTTCGATCCGAATAAGTACCCATGCTGAACTTAAACTTCCCCAATAGCTTCTTCTCTTTCAGTCGCTGCTGCTCCTCAAACTGCTGATCGTCCAATGGCACGATTTTTCTACGGGGAACATGCTGGAAAGCCTTCTCGAAGTCGTTCGACGATTTCAGTTCCATCAAAATCTGAATCATCTGATCGATCGTTAGCGATTTGCCACTCTTGAACTGAAAGTACCTATCCAGAGGCAATCGAGCCATTCGCAAGCCCTGCTTTTTGGCTTTGCCCAACGAAACAGCCTCCTGGGATGATTTGTCCACCATGGCTCCGACGATGTAGATATCATCCGGATTGAATTCTTCCAGATCGTTTTTGCAATGGGGCGTCAAATACACCAATCTCTCTTTGGGAAACAAATCCAGATAGCTCTTCTCGGTTATGTTGAACGGGAAGGAAGTATCGTGAATTTGTACTAAGCTTTTCTCCAATGTCTTCATCGTGGTTTTCCTAAAATTTGCATTACAATGGTGTATGTTGAATGGCTCGTTATGTGTTCGATTTAAAGCGAAGCAGAGCGTCAGTTGCTTTGCCGTGTTTCGCATTTCCTTATCATTCATGTAATCGTCATAGGAACAGTCAACCACAAGATTCTGTCCAAATTGCATCGCTTGGACTAATCTAGAACATCAGAATTACAATTAGTTGCAACACTCTACCACGCATTATAGGAAAATTATAGCAAACAATCTTACTTATTATTGTGCCAGTGATCCATCGTCGAATCGTACACCCTCAGGAACATTGTATTATGGAACAATCCGTAGACAATATGGTCATTGTCCGCATTCGCCTGAATCAGTTCCTCCTGCCGCTTGGCAATCTCCAGCTTCCTTTGTGCTTTCTTCGCCTGCTGACTCTCCTTCGCCATCTCCGTGTTCCACAAGTACAGATAGTACTGCCGACGCTGATTTCTGGATTTCAGTCCTAGCAAATGCTTCCAGTGTTCCTCCTTGATATTGGCCGGAGTAGGAACCTTTCGGCCTTCCTGACGCATGACTTCCATTTCCAGCTCAAGAATCTTCCGCTTCTTTTCTGGATCGATCGTCGGCGTCGCCTCGTTCTCGGATTCTTCTGCGGACATTGAAGGTGCTTCCTTGTTGTTGGGCAGATTTGCGTAACTTCGGTGCCACACCAAGATTGGCGAAACGCTTTGAGTAGGTGTTTTCCGCACTTGAACTGCGGCTAGGAATCTAATCGTTGAACTCACTGCACTGCGTGCCACCAGCAGTGTCCGGAACATGGTAAGTCTTGTGAATTTGTCTACTTTAGGAGAATTTACGTATAATTTTACAATTTTTTGAGAGGAACGGCCCTACTTTAAATTTTATACGACGCGTTTTATTTGTTTACATCCATCATGCGGAGAAAATGACATTTACAGTGAGACCTCCGCAATCCGCAATGCCGGGATGTTCATGCAACGCCCTTCAGAAAATCGTCAAACATGAAGCTACACTCAAAAAAAAAATTAAAATTAAAATCTAAATAATATAAAAGTTACGCTAAATCGCAATTGACTTCTCGACGCAAGATCTTACTAACACAACCTTGCTAGTGTATTCGTGTAAAATCGATTTGTTTATTATTTTCAACCACGAAATCAGCTGTCAAAGTGTTCGACTTGACAGCGGTTTGTTTTTTATTTTCAACCAGCAAAACGCATGTATTAGTGAAACTGATCACTAATACTAACGATGGTAGAGAACTCTATTCTCCGTACCGACGCAAAGGTCGGTATAAAGGGAGAGAATGCAAACTTAGTATAAAATGGTTTATGCGTGCCATAGTATAAAATCGAAATATCGTAATAAGTATATTATATACGGTTTATTCGAGAGAATGTATTTTTCGCTTCTTTATTTTATTTATGGTAAATATTATTGTTTTCAAATTAAAATTAAAATTGTCTCAGGAAGGTTTTTAATTATTTTATTTTTATGATTATTATTCAAAAAAATACTTACAATTTTCTAGCTGCCCAACAGATCACAGGCGCAGTAGAAATCCGCCGGGATGAAGCTCTTCACCAGCACGAAGCTCCGAAGAGCAAAGATTACATTCTCAGAAGAAGGGTTTGTGTATTTGCTCATTTTTCTATGCGTTGCTTCCACCTTCACTCAAGCGCAGCGCTACTGTATCTGTCGCTTGGATTATTGATTTGTTGTCTTCGTGGACATGCACAAACTGGATGTAGTTTCCGCTGGGAAGAACACGGTGGGGGTGCAAAAAATAATTTGTTACCGGACGTTGGTGTATACACTGAAAAAAAGGATCATACCCCGTCCACATTACAGCGTATATCACGTGATATACGCTGTCTTGCAATCCCGCATAAACGCGAACCATCACATGACCTTACCGATAATGGTTATAATCCCTGCTAAACTTCAACTGAAATGGTTATGGAACTTTACATGAACGTTTGTGTGATAAAGTTTTAACCTTATGTGTTATGGTTTTTTGGAAGCGGACCTTACAAATAATGGGTTGTTAAGAACCATTACCATTCCAAATTCTTGTTTTCTCCATACATTTTCGGAAAGAGAACTAGGGGAATTTACGTATTCTCGTCTATCTAAGCAGCGTCTGCACTTCTACTAGCATTTTCTCAGCGTCACGCACATATATGATGTGTCTGTTTGTTTACATTCATCTGCTGCTTGCTTCTCTATCCATTCCAATCGACAGAATTTTTCAAAACGTTTTGAAAGCGTTTTTACAACGCACCAAACTTCTCAGGTGAGTGTGACTATTGTCGGCAGTCTCTTTTTCTTCGGCAACCTTCCCATTAGAACTGCGTGTTAACCAGCTGTTCTATTATCGGCAACTCGAAATCAACCTCATTTTGTAGTGCGTATGCTTTATTTGAAGAAAAATGTAGCATTACTGGATTGCTCGATCCTTCAAATATAATCAGATTGAAGTTGAAAGGCTAAACAATCGTTTGGACACACTCAGGGAAGTGCGTTGATGGGAAAACATAGTGAAATTAACGTTTAAATTTTGGTTGCCGAAAACAGTCAATGGGTGCCGAAGCCAACATTTACCCTATATTAGAACGTTTTTACTTATTGTTTGAGAACATTAATGGTTATGGTTATGGTAGTCAGTAAGGTCCATTAATGGTTTTGTATTATCACTCAACTTTACGTGAAATATATCGTGAATTGGTAATCAGTAATTTACAGGCAACCAATTCGCGATATATTCCACATAAAGTTGATCGATGTTACAAAACCATTCATGGCCCTTACTGGTTACCATAACCATTACCATTAATGTTCTCAAACCATAAGTTAAAAGGTTTTAGTATAGTTTTCTTTCCGAAAATGTATGGAGAAAACAAGAATTTTGAATGGTAATGGTTCTTAACAACCCACACGCTCGTCTAATTTTACTCTAAAGTGAGTAGCTTTGACTCAGTTTCGTATATGTATGCTAAATGTCAAAAACTGAGTAACATTAATTTAACAAAGTGAGTAACATTTACTCTAATTAAACAAATATGGATCTTTACTGTTTTGAGTAAGATCAAATGTACTAAACGTCCGAAAATTTTGAAGTCCTGGGCTGAAAGCGAATCCCCCGAGAAATTCCCACAAAGCGTTCAAAGAGTGAAAGTTTTAGCGTTCTGTGAAACTTTTCTGGACTAGTAACTAGCGTGAGTAGCAGTTGGTGTTTTTCCTAAGATAAACTTTATTTCAGTCCAAATTTACACAGGTTACGTTTTCTGAACTTCTGCAATAACTTTTGGTTGTGAACTTCAGAATCCCAAGCTCGATCCAAAGGAAAGTTCACTATGAGAGAATTGCAAGTAAACTTTATGAGAAATATATTCAAAAAGAATTTAATTTTCAGGAAAAAAAATGCTGGGAAACTGATCCGTAAGTTGGGCCAGAAAGCCGCTTATAGTCCATTTCGAGATGCTCAATGTGATACATATTTGGTTACTTCCCGGAATGGAAATAGCACATGGAAGTGATAACATGCTAGCTGCAGTAGCCTTCGGTAGAATCGCTTTATAAGCAGAATTATTATCAATTTGTTGATTAGAGTTTATAAAATTTCATTTTTTTAAATAATTCTGTTGTGACAAAATAAATCGTTTTCATTATGCTGCAAAAAAGTTTGGATCTAATAATTTTCTGTCAAAATATAATATTTACAAAACTGAGTAACCTTTACTCAGTTGTGCTAATTTTGCGAAAACCGAAACTGAGTAAGTGCTACTCAGATTTTGACAAATTCATACAATACTCAAAAGTGAGTAAACATGGGGTTACTCACTTTAGAGTAGTTCCACTTTTAACGAAAGTGAGTGGAATTTTACTCACTTTAGAGTAAATTTGAACGAGCGTGCATTATTTGTAAGGTCCACTTCCAAAAAACTATAATACTTAAGGTTAAAACTTTATCATTAAACGTTCATGTAAAGTTCCATAACCATTTCAGTTGAAGTTTAGCAGGGATTATAAACAATTTTAACCATTTTAGGTAAGGTCAATTTATGGTTCGCGCTTATGCGGGATGAAAACTCATACATCTAGTTTTCACTGGAAATCCTATGTATGAGTGCTCATTGCAAGACAGCCTATATTATGTGATATAGGTTGTAATGTGACCGGGATATCACACACTGATAAAAATAGTGTGATATCACCATAGAGGTAACTCTAAGAAATTAAATTAAAGACTTTGACTATATGTTTAGTATTACTTCTGCGTGAAGTCAACGATTTACATAGTTGAAGATGCTAATTTCGAATAACTGACTGAAGTGGTAGTTTTTATACGATATATGAGGAGGAGATTAATACCCCGTTCACATTACAGCGTATATCACGTGATATAGGCTGTCTTGCAATAAGCACACAAACATCTAGTTTTCACTGTAAATCCTATGTATAAGTGCTCATTGCAAGACAGCCTATATTACGTGATATAGGCTGTAATGTGAACGGGGTATAAAGCACAAACGAAGTGACAGACGACTAACTGGCGAAGAAATCAATTAAAATAATGTGGTTCGCTGTAATAGAATTTTCTTAGAAGCTTGTGCCACCAGCCACCAGATGGGCTAGTATTTTTGTTTTGATTTGAACATAGTCGATTTTGTGTGCAATATGATCTTTGACAGTGTGCAAAGAGAGTACCATTTTGTAATTTTTTCATGCATTTCAGTTTAGAGTAGAGTGAAAGAGATAGAACCAAAACATTCTAGTACATTTAGTGTTGCCATGTGGTACAATCCATTAGTAGTGTTGCCATGTGGTAAAATTCAGTAGTAGTGGTGTTGCCATGTGGTACACTGAAAAATTGCAATAGCAGGTGCGTCACCAAAGTTTTCGAGCCGCTCCGTCTGTCACTTCGTTTGTGATTAAAGTATAGAATTGATAGTTCCGTTTAGATTACGGCAGTGTAAAAATTGCATATAGAAGAGTAGATAGCGAGCTATGACAACTTTTAAGGAAGGTACAAATCAGTTTTATCATCTCTCTTTACCAAACTCCCCCTGTGGAGAGGGATGGTGAGGGATGTCAACAAACCATTGGGAGCTCTTATACAACACCTGAGCTGCCCATAATCGCAAGTCAGTCCCATCTGTAAAAAACTGGAAATGCGAAAACGGCGTTCAAAGATTTTTCAAGTTTTCTGATTTGACACCTATTTTGAAGGGATAAATTTAAAAATAAACGTACAATGTGATAGAATGCATCTATGTTTACCGAAAAATATTAGAAAAATATCGTGAAATTTTTATTTTAAAGCCAAAATCTGAGTGGGACTGACTTGCGATTACATTTAACGTCAATGAGAAAAATAACCGCAAGTCAGTCACAATTCCATGCCGATGCTGCATTAGTTTAGCACAGTATTGAACAGTAGAAAGATACTATGGTCCCATAGAACGTTATTGAATGTTTTTGGATTTGTTCCGCTGGTTCCAGAGCAATGGCCGGAACATATTCCGGTGAGTATGGGTCTTCATCAGACCAGAGCCAAACGTGCCAAACCCACCATGCGATAAATCAATTCACATGAGAATTCAAAAATAAGATCCATAAGAGTCATGATGAGTGACCAGCACCATGTTGGCCACACCCGGACATGTTCCGGGTATACCCGGGAAAGTGGTAAATCCTTTTTAATTAAAATCCATCAAGCGATACATCAAATCACATGACAATTCAAAGCCATATCCATTGGCGGTCAAACTGAGTATCGTAAGAACTATATTGGCCACATCCGGACATGTTCCACATACCCTAGGGGAAGTGGACAAAAGCTGTATTGGGACAAATCTCATGATGCGATGTGTTGTCTAACATTTCTGATATATTTTTTCTAATGGGACTGACTTGCGGTTACTTTTCGCTGTGGGACAATTTGACTTGGTATTGTATTTCAGTTTTCTTGAACAAACCACATTTTTTCAATAGCACATCTCAAAAAACATAGAATGATAAACTGAATAATGATGCTAACTCAAAATTGATAAAAATGCAGATGGGACTGACTTGCGATTACCGGCAGTGAGTTGATCAAGCGTTGAATAATAGCTTCCAGAGTTGTACAAGAATGTAGTTGTATTGCCATTTGGTTAAAAGCTTCAAAAACTGCTTGGAGCACTCTTAAATGATTGTTTACGTTCGGTTAAACTGTTTGACAGGAGCCATATAGGATGTGGAATAAACGCATCAAAACAAACCATTGGGAGCTCTTATAAAACACCTGAGTTGATCAAACATTGAATAATAGCTTCCAGAGTTGTACAAGAATGTAGTTGTATTGCTATTAGGTTAAAAGCTTCAAAAGCTGCTTGGAGCACTCTTAAATGATTGTTTACGTTCGGTTTAACTATATGCTTTATAAGACCTACGATAACTTTTATAGCTCCTTTGTTAAACTGATTGACAAGAGCTTTATAGAACGTGAAATAAACACATCAAAACAAACCATTGGAAGCTCTTATAAAACACCTGAGTTGATCAAACATTGAATAATAGCTTCCAGAGTTGTACAAGAATGTAGTTGTATTGCTATTAGGTTAAAAGCTTCAAAAGCTGCTTGGAGCACTCTTAAATGATTGTTTACGTTCGACCAACTACCAACCACAATTTTGTTGCTAAAAATAGCACAAGTGATAGGCACGTTTATATGACCATAAGGCAATGATTATTCGACTGCAAGAGAAGTCACTCAAGATGAGCTTCATATACTTCTCTCATATGATCAAAATATGTATTCGAATCTTGCTTCGAGAAACCCTCGGTGGAGTAGAGATAAATTATATATAGGTGTTATTAATAAATGCAAACATTAATTTAAGACATATATCGTATAATCAACGATAACATTTCTAGATAAATTCTCTCAATTAATGATTAAAGAGATTCATTGAAAGAATATCAATCAAAGATTAAACAGATGCTTGTTACTACTTCCTCCATGATCAAAGAATGTGAATTATGGCATAATTATATATTTTTTCAATGTGCTGAGCCAAAAAGTTGAGCTCGTTTCTTCGGGACCTTCTGGCCTTAGAGTTACCTCTATGCTGGTACTATCAACATACTATCTTCGGTCCCAAGCTAATCGATTCACCCCTCGAAACATAGGAAAAACCAATAACCCCTCATTTTATCTGTCAAACTTTCATAGAGAATAAAAACAAACATTGTGTAGTAGTAGAATTTTGACTAGAATGGGGTACGTTAATCGTTTGCTTGGGACCAATAGGCTAGTCAAGTAGTGAGCTAATTTAAAATGGTTAGTTTCGTATTGATTTTTGATTTTACTATGTGCTGTCATGGTGTAAATGGTACGTGGTATAAATTCAGGCTTTTTAGTATTCCCTATTGCCACAATCGAACACACAGCCTTAACGGAAGCATTCACCCTTTTCGAAAATGAAGCAATACATAAATTAGGTATGACCAACCACAATACACTCAGGTCTTTTTTTACACGGGGAATACGTACCGTGTAAAAAAAACCGCGATAAAAAAAAACCTACGAGATTTTGATTTTTCACATGCTTACATGTTTTTAAAATATCGGATTTTGATGCCATTTGTAATTATAGCACGCTATGGTCCATATAGACATATTTTTTAAATTTCTGTATTTACACCAAAAATTGTGATTTTTTTCTAAGTATGCCATTCGATTACCTATAGCTTGAAACGGATAATGTGATTAAAATCAAGTCGATAGGTTGTATCGTTGTGGGAAATCGTTAAAAACGTACCGTGTAAATCGCGAAAAACCGTGTAAAAAAGACTTCAGTGTATAGGTATTTTTAGCTATTCATTCAATGTTAATTACATTAATGAAAAACAATGAAGGCACGTCACGCAATTGAAAACTGCACTTTTGAATCGTTTCCCTAAAGTATTTGGAATAGAGATAGAATGCACATTATTTAATCTAACTAGTACCATCATCATTTAAGAGTGAATTGCCGCAAAATCAACTGGTATCACACACCTGATGTCAGTGCCTTTATATAACACTCCGGAGATGAACCAGCGTCGGGCTGAAAATCTCCTTAATAAAGACAACCAACCAACCTTTATGTAACGTACTACGACGTGGTTAAGAAATGAATGAAAGAATATGTGATACCAACCTTCGGCAAGGCGATTAAGAATGGCCTACGGGGGGTGTGTATCCTTTACCCTGGGCGATTTTTCAAAAGACGATTTTGCGCCACCCCAACACCCCGATTGAGTCCCATCTTTTTCAGAGGCAATGAACAATTTGTATGTCGGTTTGAATAATTCGAAATTCATTGGCACCCTAATGAACGTGTCATGGGACGCATTGGTCTTGGGAGATATGATCCAAAACGGTGAGCTGTTTGCATAATGTTGTGACAATAATGACCAGTGCACTAAGTCACGTGGGTTTTGCGTGATCGACATACCGAGTATCATCGTCTTCATCAGCCGGGAGCCTTTTTGATGTCCGGGATAAGCACAGGACCAGTCACGTGTGACTATCACCTTCTAATCGGCGAAACCCGAGCAGCGGATGTTACGAAAGGTCATATGCCGTGAAGGCCAGGATTACTAAAGTAGGTTATCGATAAGGACTGTTCTTTCATCTTTTCACAATGACACGAACTGATGCTGAGTTCGTCGTCGTTCACAAATGGTTCCAGTGTATTTTGTCACATTAGTTGCTTAATCAGCGAAGTTGAGTCCGAACAGGGAAAGCTAATATCTAAGTCCATATTCTAGTGCATTTTTCAAGATTACAAATTACTTACTGTAAGAAGTGATTAATTACTCAAAACTAGACAATCCTACTCAATTCCGTACAGCTTGAGCGTACGATCCATACTGGTTGAAGCGACGTACTGCGCGTGCTTTCCGAATCGGACACCCGTCGCCAGAGCGGTGTGATCATTGAATACTTTCAACTCTTGCCATTGTTTGCACAGGTAAACCCTGAAACGATACAAGTATTATACATAAATCCTTAACGTTTGAATCCATCCATCTTTACCTGATATCCGTGCCCGCTATAGCCAAATACGTTCCACTCTGGTCAAAGCACAGATCCTTAACCTCGTAGCCTTCGTCCAAGGTGATCGTTTTGAAGTTCTTCAGCTTTCGCAAATCCCACAGCTTTATGCAGGCGTCATCAGCCGCCGTGGCCAGATAGTAACCGTTTTCTGAGAAGGAAATCGCCGTGATGGGTCCGGTATGACCCGGGAAGTTGGCAACATTGCTTTGCTCTTTCAAATCCCAAATTTTTACCTGAGAATCTTCGGTTCCTGTGCCGAAAATCAAACCATCTGGATGGAACTGTGCCGTCGTGAGACCGATATCGGTTGGATCTGGAACTTTCGTCAACAGACGCCCGGTACGGATATCCGAGAAGGCCCAGTGCTTGTCGGAGGAAGTGGAAAGGACATAATCCCCCGTTGGATGAAGCGAGAGGCCAGTGACGGGACCATCGTGGCAGCGAAGTAGCAACTGGGTCTGTGAGGTTGGGACATTCCAAATACGAATGCTGGCATCTGGAGATGCCGTTATGACGGTGTCGTCTTCCGGATGGAAGATTACCTTGGTGACCTTCTTGGTGTGTCCCTTCAGGATGGCGACGATCTGCTCGTTATCTTTGTTAAATACGGCTGCATTTTTGTCGTTGCCTCCCGTTAGGATCTTACTTTGATCGGAATGGTTAATATCCAACGCCAAGATACCGGGAACACTGGCCGAATGGATACCTGGATAGGAAGCCAGGGTGAGAAAACCACGAATCTTTTCCGCACTGACCAGTTCTTCCGGAACGGTACGACCTTTCTTTTTTCGTTCCTGTGTCAGAACGGTGGCCTTGTCCTGGAGCTTTTGAATCACTTCGGCACTCATGCCAGCCTGTTCGATCGGTTGTGTGCTCATGCCTCCTGCTTCTGCGGCAATCAACGGTTGTGGAATAGACTGGATTGAAGTGATACCGGTTTGTGGTTTGAGAGTGGCCAAGGCCTCACGGGCGGCAGCCACTTCTTTGTTGAGACGGGCAATCACACGGCAGGCTGCATCGTGCTGGTACAAGGCATGGGACAATTCTTGCCGAGCCGTTTGTAACTGCTGTCTCTGGGTAAATGCATGCAACATTAGTGCGTCCCATTCGTCCTGCATCATTTTCAGTGTCGCCGGAATACTTGTCGCACTTGGCGGTTTAGGACGTACGATTGGTGGGGCTGAAACCCAAAAAGAACCATACAGATCAGTGCACCTAATTTGAACAACGGGTTCAACTTACTCTTGATTTCTATTAGCTCTTCCGCCTTCAGCGGTTCTCCGCTGATGGGATCACACTCATTTTCAACGATGTACTTTTCGATCAAACGCTTTTCGAATATCGCTCCGGATCTCGACGACACCACCGGGTGTTCCGGCACTTCATTCGATACTGCAAAAAGAATCGAACACTGTTTATACTTCTCCCCCCAAACATAACCTGCACTCCGGCTTGCGGCGTTTGTTTGGGTTGAATGTTTTCGGTAAAAATCACTCCATATCGGAAAAATACTTACTACTGCATACAAGCGACATCTTTGAACGACAAGTTTTGAAACTTTTCTCGGCTTATATTGTATTTTTTCCTGGATAAAAACTGTTTTTCGAACAATTTCCCAGCACTCGCTAAACTTTTTGATGTCTCGTCGCATCTACTTTTGACAGATGCCAGCTTATCGTTTTAGATGTACAGCTCAGTTTACACTCCCATAAGCAGGCAATGAGCTCGATTACCGAGGTGAAGCAATCGGTTAAGTTGTGTGAGTAAAACCCCTGTACGATACAAACAGGTAGTGACGTCACTACTTGCGTTTACGTTGATTTTTTGGATTACTAATCCAACCATATTTTACGATCTGCTTCACCTCTGTCTGTACTCATTGATCAGCGGGGGCCGCAGCCCAATGAGTACAGAGAGAGGTGAAGCAGATCGTGAAATATGGTTGGATTATTTTTTTTTTTTTTTTTAATAATTCGTTTATTTTTCCAGGCTCATTTGCTGTAGCTTTGCGGAGCCGATATTCATTGTTTAGATAACAAAATTACTTAAAACTAACGTTAGTAAAGCGGGGGCCGATTACTCGCGGCTATCTCAAGGTTAGGGGTAACAAATTGTAACAAATGGATGGCAGGGTAGGGATTGTGAACCTGGTGGTTGGATTAGTAAACCAAAAAATCAACGTAAACGCAATTAGTGACGTCACTAATTGCTTGTATTTTATACCATTGGCAGACATACAAAGCAGTACCGTTTTACTCCTTTAATCAAGTACTTCAAAAGGTACAATTTGAGGTACTAGCTTAAAGAAGTACAACAGTGTACATGGGTTTCACTTACACAACTTAACCGATTGCTTCACCTCGGTAATCCAGTTCGTTGACCGCAGCCGGCTCGAATAAAAACTAAAGCCCTACAGTAAAAGTATGGACGTCATACTGTAGGGCTTTAATAAAAACTCGCCGAACTGATCGTTTTTATGTCACATTACACTTTACACATGAACTTGGTTAGTGTTAGTGAAAGCTTATTTCACACGCTATTTCAAAACTGCCCCAAATTTGGGTAGAATCCACCCATATCGGTCAAAACTGAACTTACCCAAAAATGGGTAAACACGTATTTACCCAAATCTGCGTAAATGTACACACCAAATTTAAATCACTGAAAATCAGCAAAATGTTACTGATTTTAGACTTGATGAAAGGTCAGCAAACGTTCCAGCAAAATAATGATGCTGACTTTTCATGCAATTCCAACATCTGTCAAAATGACAACATTTTACTGAAAATCAGTAATGATTTCAGCAATATTTATTTACTGATTTTTTCAGCATTCCAAAATTCTGACTTTTGGATTTTGCTGATAAAACTATTAAACTCAGTAAATCAAATTTGTTTTCACTAGGAACTTCCAGCTTCTGTAAAAGATCGTTAATTGATCAGTTCACGAAGATTTGCCGCACTCTTCTCTCACCCGTAAGTTTTGACAGTTTTGGGTGGTTTGTTTTGGCTCCCATTCGTTGCTATCTCTTTTACTCAGAAGCAAAATGATAGGGAGCAAAAAGTGAGGTTAGGGACCGTGCACTGATCTATACAAAATAAAGACAAAATCGACAGGCTCTTTTCCTTGTATAATTTATTTAATATAACCAGTGTCCTACCTACATAATTTTATTTATTTGTAGTCCTCCTGCGGTGTTGACGATGGTGTACGAATGCAAAAATACTTGCGACTGTGATGCTAACATTTTGACAGCTCTTTTCTTGGACACACAGCAAACCGTTTATGTAAGCTGATTTTTCGGTAAAAAAATCGTTTGCTGTTTTTCATTAAAGCATTGGATTGCTGCTCATGATCCAGCAGCCCGTTTTACTGATATTGGAAACTTAAATTTGGTGTGTATATCCAGCATTTTACGAGTGCTTATGGCCGCCACAATCTGGCTGAGTGTTTATGGTAGGGAACATATGATTTGACATTGGGGTTGTGTCGTTTGACGTATAAACGTTCAAATTTGATTGTTTACACGTCAAATGACACAGCCCAAACTTCAACCTACCAGAAACTCAGCAAGATTGTAGCGGCCATAGATTTCTCTACCATCGTTAGTATTAGTGAGAAGTTTCACTAATACATGCATTTTACTGGTTGAAAATAAAAAAAAGTAGAAGGGTCTGTGCCTAGGGGCACAAATGGGAGCTTGACGTAGGACCGCTAGGGCACGGAACAAATGTGAAGAAAATTTAGTTCTTTTAATTGATCGATCATCTATTATCTTAACTCTTTCCGTTTTTGATTTGTAGGCGTACCAAATGTGTAGTTTTTTTTTTCAAAGAGAAAATTGATGAAGAGAATCGATCAAAATCACTTGCACCAAGTTTGGTTACAAGATTACAACTCTGGAGAGCATTTTGTGTGGTCGTTGGGGGCATGTGGTTCTGAATATGGACCAACAGGCAGATAAATTATATTCTAACTTTTTACCGTAATAAGCTTGTTGGCCCAGAAAAGAGGTGTTTTGTTGCCAAAGTTGGCGATGATTTAACCTCCGAAACTGTGCAGAGTTCGTCTGTCGCTTCAAATCGTAGATGACATCGATGTTCGCTTACGTTTGGCGTGTTCAATATAGGTGACAGCATCACGGATCACATTTTCCAAGAACACCTTCAGCCAAGGTTGCAAATGCTCATTTCAGCTAAAACAATGTATTTCTAAATTATGAAATAATTAGATGCCATGATCATATTTTGAATTGGTAGGATTCAAGAAGAGGTTGCAAAGAATGTGTTTGACATATTAAACCTGCTTATTTCACTTCATGAGAGTCACAATCAGCGATTTTTCACAAACTCACTCACTCACTCACTCAGCGATCAGAAAATCGCTGATTGTGACTCATAGAAAGCAAAATTTACAGGTTTTATGTTTCAAACGCATACTTTGTAACCTTTTCTTGTAAGTTACAAGTAAAACATGCCATCATACCATCTTTTGGTTTTATTATTACGAAAAACATTATTTTAGCTGAAATGAGTATTTGCAACCTTGCCTTCAGCACACCTCGTGTTTTCTCGTAGATCAGACAGGAGACATGTTTGACACCACCACGGTGAGCCAGACGACTGCTTTTGCTGCTTCTGCTGCCTGCTCACCACGGCGTCCGTAGCGAAAATGAGTTGAGGCTAGAAAGCAGCGCTCTTTTATATCTTTCAGGTTAAAGCAGAATGATGTGCAACCAAGTGGTACTTGATTCGAGACTTGATTATGACGACTGCGTTTGGGAACAACGTTTATTTCATGAAAACATTGAAAAAATTATCACTTTTTATTTGCACTTTGGATAATGTTTGACATTACCACTTTTTCAATAGTTTCTTGTTGAAAATCATCAGCATTGCGTAGACATATTTCTGATCGATTGATTATTAAATTACTGAAATTGATCCAGGGGCAGCTGTGTTATTAATGTTCAAAATCTTTCATAATTTAGTTTCATGTTCCATTTTCGGTTTTCACAATGTGTACCCCAGTATAGAAATTAAAGACGTAGTCCTACGTCAAAACAAACCGCTTTCAAGTCGAAAACTTTGACAGCTGATTTCGTGGTTGAAAATAATAAACAAATCGATTTTACACGGCTACGCTCGCTATATTGTATTAGAGAGATCCTGCTTCGAGAAGTCAACTATAGCGATCGTAAAATACTGGATATATACACTATGAAAACCGAGATGAAAACGGCATCTTTTGAAGTGAAACAATTGGGTTCTTTAAGGGTATTAAGTTAAATGCATATTCGTAATCTGCATTAAAAATGGAACCCAAACCCAAAATTTCATCCATTTTGGTACACTGGAACTATTTTAAATAAGTATGATTACATTTGCAAAAATCACCTTATTACCGCCCCTCGGTGTCACTTTGTATGGGAGCGAGCTGTCAGTTTGTCAGTTTAGTGTCAAACAGTGAAGTTGTTATTTTGCTTTAAATCTTGATTTAAAAATCGAGATGAAAGTGTGTGGATTCGAAAAAAATATCGTTGTGCTCAGAAAACGTAGCTCTTTCAGATGATATATAAAAACAGATATATTTTTCAAAATTAAAGAACCCAATTCTCGACCAACAATGGATCAATGAAAATGCTGAGTTTTTGACAGAACTATGCTGTGGCTACCACAGTATTTTACATTTGATCGTCCATATACAGTAGCGCCAAAAGCATGCTGTGGTGGTTTCAAAATTTGACCATCTAAAATGATCAATTGAAAAGGACCTCTCAACTTTTCTAAACAAAACTTTGTAATCCCTTTCCTCTCAATCCATAGGCCACTCATGCAAACCAACAGCATCATCGGGTATAGGGGAAACTGCCCCCTAGACGGAGATGCCATTGATTTGCGTGGGCGGTATAAAGTTTGCGAATAAAGGGCTTACAAAGTTTTGATTATCTGCTGATGGGTCCTTTTCAATTGTTGGTCGAGAATTCATATGCGAGGTGGATGACGTTTCTGCCACCGGAGTGGTTAGGACATACCTATATGTAGTTACCTTGATTCGTATTGCCAATCGCGTATGGTTGGTGCTGTCCATCTTTTCGTTTTGACCAATGACCTAGATTACCGAGGTGAAGCAATCGGTTAAGTTGTGTGAGTAAAACCCCTGTACGATACAAGCAATTAGTGAAGTCCTACTTGCGTTTACGTTGATATTTTGGTTTACTAATCCAACAATATTTCACGATCTGTTCACCTCTCTCTGTACTCATTGCGTTTTGACATCGAATTGGAACAGTCGGAAACGGTATCACCAGACAACGCATTAATCGTCCGTCAAAAGAAGTGGAAAACTTTCTGATGCAACATCAGCAAAACGAAATTTTCCGCAAATAAAGTGCTTTTGAGTGTAACATTTTCCAGTTTTCGAGACAATTAAGTGAAATTCAATAGTTGCAATCATGGCTGAAGATGATGCGGTAAGTTTTTCGGGCGACAATTCGTGGTTTAGGTTTCCAACAAAAAAAAAATTGCCATGCTGCACTATCAGGTACAATGATGGGCCGTCCTATTTCGAGGTTAAGCGAATTTAGTTTCATAGTTGCTCGAAACATTGGTAAATTTTCGATTGTACCCTGTCGGGATGTTTAATTTTGCAGTTTGAAGGCTGTCGGGTAAATCTTTAATTTAAGCGACTTGTCTCGTTTTGCGTTGCAGATTTTCGATCCTTCGTTGATGAAGAAAAAGAAGAAGAAGAAGACTCCGTTCGATTTAGATGGAGCGATGGCACCGGAGGAAGGCGGTGAGGTAGAAGCCCCGGCCGGTGAGTCTGCGGATAGTGTGCTGTTTGACGGCGCCGGTACCGGCTCGGTCGAAATTGGAGCTGGAAATGACCTGGATGACAATTTGGATCTGGACACATTCGGTGGCAAGAAAAAGAAAAAGAAGAAGAAGCCCTTCAATCTGGATGATATTGACAGTGCTCTGGCCGCCGTGGAAGTGGACGGGGAGAACGAACCGAAGGGCGGTGATGATGGAGACGGTTTTGTATTCGGCGGAGATGATGGCATGGAGGATGACATGAAGATCGATTTCAGCGTGAAGAAGAAAAAGAAGAAGAAGAAGGATCTGACGGAGCTGATGGAGGCGGAGGATGCCGCCCGGGAGGAGGAAAAGGAGAATGGTAAGTTGGTGGACTGAGAGATTTATTTTTAACTAATTCAACTGAGGGCGTTTGCCATATTGTGAGCGGAAGTTATCACAAATCTTGTAACATTACATGCCTTACGGATATCGATGGAATCGTCACGGAATTCGGTATTGTTTACTAACACTTGGATTTATAAGCGTGCATGTACACAGGTAGTAAATGTAAAAGAAGCGTTTGGGTCGAAAGAAATTCTCATTCTTAAGTTTTAGCACAGACAAACAGACATAACACATTGAATATTTCTTACTGTAATACATCGTCGCTAAAATATTACCGCCATCTGTTGAGTACACTGTGGTGGGCACTACGCTGAACAGATGGCGGTAGTGTGTAAACGTCAAACGCAAGGGAATTGACTATGCGCGCCACAGGTGGTGGTACTACCAACTACGATACTTTTAAATTGACCGTTAAATGCTTGTTCGATGAACAACTAGCGAGTGTTATGTCTGTTTGTCTGTGGTTTTAGTGTTTCCTACCATTAGGCAATATGTATGCGAATGCAAAAATGAAAGCTCTCAATTATCAACGGTGGAAGTGCTCAAAGAACAACTTGAATGTTGAAGCCAGGCGTAAAATTCCAGTTAGGACGAAGATTTCATATATTCGAAGTACCAATGTCTACTATTTGAATCTGCCAACTGCTTCTTATACAGTTACTACACTGCCCATTAAAGCATGACTGTTCCATATCTGCTTGATTTCCTATTCATATGGACAGTGCCCGGAAAATCATTCTCAAATCTCATTCATTGAGCCCTCCTGAAGGAATAAAATCGCATGCGAATCTACAAACCAAAACTTGAGACTTTTCACTCACATCGTCAATTGCTAGGTGAAACTCATAAAACCGCTCAAACGTCAATTGATAGCATGTACTTGTATGTTTTGTTAGTTTTCCATCGAATAATGCAAAAATAAGGACTTAAAATCTAAACAATGATTTTTTGAACCGTAAATCTCAAAATTCGTAGGCGAATAAACTCATGAGTATGAGATTTGAGTTTTTCTCAACACTGCATATGGGCAGTCCACAGACTGTGTGCACACGTCTGTTTAAAATCGACATTGAATTTTCCCAATAGCATGTGTGTTTAACAAATCCTTCTTTCCCCCCCTTCCGAACAGTTGACGTGCAATGCACCCCGTGGGCCGCTACGGACCGTGACTACACCTACGACGAACTGTTGCAGCGTGTGTTCGAGATCATTCTGGACAAAAATCCCGACATGGCCGCCGGTAGAAAACCGAAGTTTGTGATGCGTCCCCCGCAGGTCCTCCGTGTCGGCACCAAGAAGACCTCCTTCGCCAACTTTACGGAAATCTGCAAAACCCTCCACAGACAGCCGAAACATTTGCTGGACTTTTTGCTGGCCGAATTGGGTACCAGCGGTTCGGTGGACGGCAACTCGCAGCTCATCATCAAGGGCCGCTTCCAGCCGAAACAGATCGAGAACGTGCTCCGGCGGTACATCAAGGAGTACGTGACGTGTCACACCTGCCGTTCGCCCGAAACCATCCTCCAGAAGGACACCCGTCTGTTCTTCCTGCAGTGCGAGTCGTGCGGGTCGCGATGCTCGGTCGCCAGTATTAAGTCCGGTTTCCAGGCCGTCACCAGCAAGCGTGCGGCGATCCGTGCGAAAACGGCTTAATCAACACTGTCGGCATCTATCTATATTGTGTTCTCTTCTCTGCGAATTGTTCCGTTGTTTTATTTCCTTCATTAATATTATTCCGTGTTGCGTGGGCAAATGGGTTCCAAGAGGAAAGTTTAGCGGCAAACAAAAATTACTGATTGGTAAAACAAACAAAAAAATATACAGACATTTAGCAAGCATATAACCTATGGACACAAGTTTGTATGTTTATTTATCATCTTTATTCAAGTAGAGTTACTATTTTTTACAAACTTCTAACCGACTCAATAAAGCTGCACTTATCTTGTGTAATTGTAACAGAAGCTCAAAGCTCACTTTAAATCGAAAATATCACTTTTCTTTCATTCTGCAATTGCCGGAGCGTACCTTTGTTCGTAGCACTGGGCTAGGTGCGTCTTCCAGAAGACTTCGGCTGATTTTCCAACCGGATTATTGTCGGCATGCATGCTGTAGGCGTAAAGAGACACTCGGTCATACCGGTTCAGGAAGGGTCGTCCAACTGCGAAGCATCGGGTGCCCAGTGGGAAGTACTGCAACCGCTGCTGGCAGCGAGATTTTACCAGTGTGAGCAGTAGCTTGAGTTCCGCCAGTTCCTGAGGATCGTTCGGAACTTGTTCCTCGTTCAGAGGGGTGCGCGTCGTTAGGATTTTCTCGCAGGAATGGACAGCGATGAGATTGTCTAGTAGTTGATGAAAAATCGATATAACATTCTTCAAATATGTTAATGCAATGAACTTACCCAAATCCCGCTTCAATCCATGGGCATAGTGCACCTCCACAATCCCCGTCCCGTCATCCAGCTTGTAGATCTGGGTGTTATTTTCCTGTTTCACCGTGCCGGGCGTTACTCTTCCGTAGACCATCACGTTTTTGAAATCGATGCCAAACAGTGAGCAAACGTACGAATCTTGATAGAAGCTGGTCAACTGCAGGTGCACCACTTGCAGTGAGATCACATCGGAAATATGCTTTAACTGACGAGTGCGCTTTTTGGTGGTCTGTTTCCGGTGGTCTCTGATATTTTCCAGGAAGTTTATGAACTCGCCAAAATACTCGTCGTTCGTGAGGTCCACTGTTTCAACCGACGAAGGTATGCTGGAGGATGGGGTCACGAATCGCGGGATTTCGTCCTCCAAATCCGGTTCCGTCTTTATCGGATCCATTGTGCGTGATAAATAATTTTGGTGAACTTTCGATACATATATTATAGCATAGGGTAGAAATCAGCTGATAAACATTCACGCGCCGCAAACGATTCCTGTTGGATTTACTCCGTTTTGTTATCATCCAGCCATTCGCCGGCTTGGGGTGTGTTTGTGAGCCCGTGAACGCCGTGCTGCCAACCGAAAAGAGTAAAAACTTGACAGCCGCTGCGAAACAGAAAAAATGGGAAAACGCCAAAATTTGTCTATGAAGAAAAATTTGCAGCTGTGTGCAGGTGGACTTTTACGTCGTTGATAAAAAAAAACTATTTTTCGCCAAATTTGTTTGGTTTTTCCGGCTGAAACGATTGAATTATCGAAGAGTATCAAAGTGGTGTTCAGGAAAAATAGAAATTCGCCGTGGTAAGTCGCTACCTTTGGTAGAAAATTCGCTTTTTCTTTCCCGTTTTTTACGCAACAGGGAGCGTCTTCCAAAAGGTGCGGAAAATGTTAGCCGCTTGACGGGGACCGCACTGAAAATGCCAACATGGCGTTCGCTCATCGATGTGATTTTTAGGAAAATATTAGATTTTATTTTTGGGAGAACGTGAATTGTGTTTCGGCTTTACCGGAACATCATTTGCAGTTGATTTTTGAAACTTTGTTTTATTTTTAAGGTGATTGGCATCGGTCAGTTAACGATGTTCTAGGGTTCAATGTGCAATGTTTACTATTACCGTACTGCAACCATATCCGGATGATATCCAGTCGAGTATAATATTTGCTGGAATAATTTTGGTTATTGGTTAACTAACTACGCTGCTCTTAGAGGGTATCCATAATCAGGGTGGCCACCCACCGGGGAAACGGAAGAAAACGGGAATTCAATGGCACCACCGAGAAAATTTTCCTTAAAGAACCAATAGGTATCTTCACTTCCACCGTTCATGCAACATCAAATGTTAGCAACACTTTCGTCTAGTTGTTTTTTTTTTTTTATATTTTTTCCCTTTTCAATGAAACACAGTCTGACATACTTTGACACATTTGCATGGTATGTTTGGTCTCCAATGTAAGGACAAGTTTTTGTTTCAAAAATCCTAATCTTCAGTAACTAGCCATGATAAAAGACTTAATAAGTTCAGCCATTTAATTTTATTATCTTGATATAACAACACTCCAGAAAGTATCATACTTAAATTATGTTACCGAGATTCCAACAGCCGAGTACTTCAGCAATTTATTTTGCAGATATTCAGTAAAACAATTGCCGAGACTCTTGACAATTTTTTGCTGAGATTTCAGTTAACAAACAGATATTTTGCAGATATATCAGCAAAAGTAAATGCTGAGGTAATCGGCTGTTGGAGCTTTTACCTAGCTAGATTGAGTGTGTACTTCCATCAGATTGTTTTTTTTCAACATTCCGGTTTCTGCTATTTTCCTTCAGGAGTTGCTTCTAACTATCGCCGAAAGTTTACACCGATTTCCTTTGAAATAATCTTCTGACATCCCCCGGAAGTTTCTTCCGCAAGTTTTTCCGTTTTTAGTTTTTCGATTTTTGCCTGAAATTATCAATTATTTGGTTGAACATTTGTTCTAAAGTCTCAACATTCGAAATTCTATATACTTCGGTAGTATTAAACCAGGGAGGCAACATCAAAATCATCTTCAGAAATTTATTCTGAATCCTTTGAAGTGATTTTTTCCTGGTAGTGCAACAACTTGACCATATTGGCACATCATGAAGCATGGCCGGTCTAAAAACTTGTTTAAATATTGTAATTGTAATTTATCAGTCCTCACCCTGGTGGCCACTGCCAACCCATCGTATTAGGTGAGGACCTACCAAGCCTAAGCGTTAAAACATGCCAGACCATATAGCATGCCGCAATCGTGACTAGCCGGCGCAAAATGTCCAAACTAGTACACCGATACATTAAATAGAGATAGAAAGAGATCGAGAGGGAAAGAGTAAGAGAATTGTATGAAGAAAAGACGATCCAAAAAAAAGGTCCCTAGCAATAAAACTATTACTCTGTGCTAATCTGAGTTATTTCTAAATGGGAATCCATGCTCAGAAACTATACCCGATCTCAACAAACTGTACCGAAATCAGAACAGCAACTACTCGGTAAGGTTTTGGCATTTCTATTTAATTGTATAAAGCTACTTTGTATCGAGTTTTTTTTTCAATAATTGCAACATGTGAATAATGCAGAACAAGTTTAAAATTGTTCTAGAGCCAAATTGGTTTGGAAGGAAGGTCAAACTACAACCGAACAGCTCAGCCTCTTTGAACTCTTCAAGTATGAACATTATGCTTTCCCAATATGGTACATTCTCTCACTATAAACCTGCCATTTCTAGTCTATCTGAACTATTCAATAAATGGAAACCATAAAATGGGTTACGCTCCCCCTAAGCGGGTCCTCTGCATCCTATTCTGTCTTATCTGAAATACCAAATGCCAATGGTTTGAATGTATCAATATATAAATTGGAAATGACGTTCAATCAAATAAACCCATACCCCACTCACTTGGCCAGGTTTCATAATCGTCCAGTGGGCAGTGCGCTCTACACTCCAAGTTCCCTTTCTTGTTGATTAATCACAATGAAACATTGTGACAGAGCACGGACTTGAGGTTACTAGAGTATTAAATCAATTAAATAATCTAGGTCCTATTTAGGATTATATCTGAAAAATCCAAATCTGGCCAAAGCCCACCTAAAAAAAAACTTGTTTAAATATTAGAAGTTTATTATTTGGGCAAAGTATGGATTTCCTGTTTATAAGAGGATACAAACATTTTATGTATTTGTTACATTTGGCTTGAATGCTCTCAATGTGATCTTTACAAGTTAATTTTTAGTCAAGTACTAATCCAAGATGTTTCACTTGACTTGACCAAGAAATTGGAACTCCGTTCATAGTGACTACGTGACTACTACTAGGATTAAAAAAGGAAGCTCTAGGCTTATGTCGAAATATAAGTTGAGTATTGGAAGCGTTGGGAGAAATCTTTCATTTTTGTAAATAAGGAGAGAAAATATCTAAACTTTTCTGCAGTCTGCTGCAAATAACACGAAGACTTCTTCCTTTAGCAGAAATGCCTGTGTCATCAGCGATCAAAGATTTGTGGCAACCCTCAGGCAAATTAGGGAGGTCCGAAGTGAAAATATTATACAATATAGGCCTAAAAAAGCTACCCTGAGGAACTCCAGCTCTAACAGGTAGTCGTTCAGATTTGGAATTTTGATAATTTTCCTGCAGAGTTCTGTCAGTTAAATAATGTTAAACTCTGTCGAATGCTTTTTCTATGTCTACGTGAGCAACTTCAGTTAAGCAGTGTTCAGATTTGTTTGAACGAATTAATTTGGTAACTCTTAAGACTAGTTGAATGCCTATGGCGAACAGTTTCATCTGCAAAAATTGAGTTCGTATTGATGTGAAAGTATCATTCTATTCAAAATAATCTTTTCAATAAGTTTACTTATTGATGAAAGCAAACTTCTTAGTCGGTAGCTGGAATTTTATCCGGCTTCAAAATTGGAACAACTTTTGCATTTTTCCGTTCATCAGGAAAGTATGCCAAATGAAAACATCTGTTAATAGATTCACACGGAAAGATAAGGTACTCTCTGGGAGTTTTTTGATGAATTTTAGAAAATTCCATCATCACCTGGAGCTTTCATATTATGAAACTTTTTAGGTATAGATCTTACTTCGCTAAATCAGTCCCCCAGGAATCATCAACAATATTTTCCCGAGAGAACATATTCACATAATCCCAAGCAACCTGATTCTCAATAGGACTAGTAAGACTCAAACAAAAATTATGAGAACTCTCGAATTGCTTAGCAAGTTTCTGAGCTTTTTCCGAATTTGTGGTAAATTTTTTACCAACCGCTGGAATTGGCTTTCGAGGTTTTTTTTCAAATTTTTTGTGAGCTTCCAAAAGGGTTTGGAACTCGGGTCTAATTTGAAACATTATTTTCAAAGGCAGAGGATAGGCTTTTAATTTGTTTTTGCAAATCCCGCCAGATAACTTTCCTTTTAATTTTTCGGCTTGGAAAATTTCTCTATTTTCTTTGGCATAGGATGGTACGGGCATAGAAAGCTCTCAATTAAAATGTTAAAGTACTTCAAAGAACTCTAAGTTGAGAGCAGGCAAAAATCTAATATGCTATAAGCATATGGTATTCAGATAAAAATAATTAATTTTATTAATGGAAAAATCTTATGTGCGTCCCTAATAGAAACTATGTGAAAACTTTTTTCAGCGTAATATTTCAAAAATATAATTATAATTGCGATAGTATTTTTGGAATAGTAGAATCCACCAATTTCAGACAATTGCTTCCCTTAGCTGTAGCAATTTAAAGAGAAAATCGACGAAGAGAATCGATCATCGCGGTTACGCCCTTATGCATGCTCACCGTCGATTTGTCGTATTAGAAGATAGATAATACCAGTGATGCAAAATATCATGACAATCACTCGACACTCGTCAACGCATCAACCCACTATCGCTGATAGAAAGTTTTGTCACACAACAACAACGATCACCAGTAATGGTCGCTACTCACAGGCAAAACGTAACACTCGTTGCTGATGATGTAAAGGGCATCGAAAATAGTGAATACTTCTGCAGTACGATGATGAGAAAAATCGAAACGACACAAGAAAATGAAAACAATGCCTACGCATTCCAAGTTCGTCTTGACCCGCGCGACTGTGAGTTTTAAACAAAGCTGGCAAAATTAGACGGAAGCAGTTGGGCTCACTCACCAACACACTCACATAAGCAAGCAAAACAGCAACAGATTCAAAACGAGCACATACCTATGAGTGCCGTGATTGTCGGGAATCACCGAAGACGACATTCACCAGTTGCTTTTTACTTCTTTCGTCAACTTGATGGATGGTCATTAGAGTGATGCAAAATTTGAAATTTTCGCTCCACAATACTTAAACGATTCCAAATCAGATCCTGACTAACCTCTCAAAATTTGAACCCATTTGGTGAGAAACTGAGATGGCACAAACCATTTGAAGTTTGTATGGGAATTACTATGGTAAAACCAAGATTTTTGTTCATGTCTATCTAATAATTCACCATATCGATCTGCTTCAAAAGCTTTCAACTGTACTGGTATGAAATTTTTCCAGCTACAACTTTGCTCAAGACCTCTTTTTGATTAAATGCAAGGATCGAAAGTTATCAATGGTTCAATGTGCTGATGTCTTATGATCATGCTCAATCAACTGTTCAGCAGGCAACATTGGTGTTTCTGGGGCGTTGAATAGGACCCAAAAATCATGGCTACTATGTCAGACTGCAAAATACAGTGTTGCCTACAGAGCAGCTGCTTGATCATGTCATAAGTTTACTAATCTCTTAAATAATTAATAACTTT